GCTCTGACCGCACCTCCCGCTCGGGGTTCCTCTTATGCGTTGCAGTTGTGGTGTCTGAATCTCAGTTAGAACAATGCTCCGATTTCTTCTGGAGAAAAGAAGGTTGTGTGGAGACCTCATAGCAGCCTTTCAGTATCTGAAGGGGCCTACAGTGGGACTGGAGAGGGACTCTGTGCTAGGAACAGCAGTGATAGGACAAGGGGTAATGGGTTCAAACTGAAGGAGGGAAAGTTAGATGTGAGAAAAAAGTGTTTTACTCTAGGAGTAGTGAGACATTGGAACAAGTTGCCCAGGGATGTGGTGGCTGCTCCAACCCTGGCAGTGTTCAAGGCCTTGAGCAACCTGATCTAGTGAGGAGGTGTCCCTGCCCATGGCAGTGGGAGTTGGGACTAGATGATCTGTAAGATTCATTACAACTCCTAAATTCTGTGATGCCTTAGAAACAGTGCTCTTCCCCTACATCTCCGGGACCTGAAGGGCTGTGGGCTCATCCCAAGGACTTGTCCCAAGGGCGAGGACAGGTGTCCTAGCCACAGCCACTACTGCCAGTCGTAGAATCATAGTCAGACCTGTTTGCTTCTCCTTGCTCTGAAAAAAAAAAAGGGTCATAATTCCAGTTCCCTCTGACAATTGGCAATTAGGCATTAGGCAATACTTTGCAATAAGACATTGTTAGAATGACCTCAAGGAATCAAGAGCTATGAGTAAGCAGCTGATGCCTATTCCATCTCCTTTTCATTTCCCTAGGAGACCAGGAAATGTTTCAAGCAAATTTCTTATGCTTGTGGGTGTCAATTTGAAATTCATTCAATTAAAGGCAGCTTTGATCTTGAATTCCTCCTGTGTCACCTGTCTCAGTCTTTCTTATAGGTTGGATTTCATTCCTCTAGATGAGCAGAGAGTTCAGCACATTGTCTAGTGGCTTTTCCTGACATAGAGGGTACTTCTTGATAAAGAAGTGTTTGTGGTTATTTGGTATCATAGAATCATAGAATCAACCTGGTTGGAGAAGACCTCCAAGATCATCAAGTCCAACCCTACCATCGTTACTAGACCATGGCACTAAGTGCCACATCTAGTCTCATCTTAAAAACCTCCAGGGACGGTGAATCCAGGCCATGGGGTCGGGACTGGATGATCCCTAAAGTACATTGCAACCCCTAAAATTCCAGGATGCTCTGAAATTAACTGGTATTGGTATTTGACCAAAGGAATGAAACTGAACCCTGAAGTACAGGTCAGGCTCTTTGATTTTATTCTACTTTTTAATAGCACACTGATATGAAGCTACAAGTTGCAGCAGGCAGGGATTGCCAATATGATAAGCCTGCTCTCTCCACTGCTCTACCAGAAATTACCCCAAAAGCCTGTATTACAGGGTTACAAAATACACCGTGGTGAGGTAACAAACCATCTGCCTTTGCTCCTATTCTACTACAGGATTTAAATATAATAGATACTCCAGTTTCCCCTTCTATCCCATCAAATGTCAGTAGACTCAGTTCAAGCATGTACAGCCACCATTCTCCTCCTTCTTGTAGGCAACACAGAAGATACAAAGGTAGCCCAGGGAGGTAGTAGAAATTCCAAGCCTGGCAGTGTTCACAGCCAGGTTGGATGAAGCCTTGAGTAAACTGGTCTGGAAGGAGCTGTCCCTGCCCAGGGCAGGGGTTGGGGCTGGATCATCTCTAAGGTCCATTCATACCCCTAAAGTTCTATGATTCTATGAATAAGTATCTCTTGAACATAGGAGGAGCCCAACAGATGCTCATTCACGGCCTTCACACAGAACAAATGAACTAACCTTGTGGGAATGAGCATTTAGGGCATAACTTCCAAGACCATATCACAGAATTTTAGGGGTTGGAATGGACCTTAGAGATGATCCAGTCCCAAGCCCTGCCCTGGGCAGGGACACCTCCCACCAGAGCAGGTTGCTCAAGGTCTCATCCAGAATATTTCCATAAGTCACACTTTTACTTCACTTTTATCTCCCATAACTAAACAATATGAACTATGACTGTTAATATTTTCAAAAGGAAATAGTTCCTAGTTGCTTGATATCTTCCTCAAAATTTCAGGTCAAATTGACCCA